AAATCCATCGCCTGCAGGCTCGTCGACTGTGTTTCTTGTAAGGATTATATTGAGACTACCGTTGATGCACGCATCCATCAGTTCGATTGCTATCATTTCGTTAAATTATTGGATTTCATTGCGATAAGATGATGTGTTCAGAGATGAACTGATAAGATGATGTGTTCTTACCATACGATAATGATAAGAAGTGATAATTAAGGCCCCGAAAGAGAATACAGTTAATGATTTATGGCGAATGGTATGGCAAGAGAAGAGTAAATCTATTGTTATGCTATGTAATATCATGGAGTGTGGCAAAAAGAAATGTGAACAGTACTGGCCGAATACTGAAGGTGCAACGGTAAGCGTGTTGATTTTACAGCAGAAGTATTGGTGTATCGCAAAACTGATACAATATACTATTACAGAAAGAATATGGCACATTGAAAGTAACATGTAACAAGATCACGCAAGAAGAGAGTATGTTAACCATAAGCCGTTTGAATGTCTCGGATGGAAGTGTGGACTTAAGCGTCGAACATATTGCGTGGAACAATTGGCCGGATCGCGGAGTACCGCCGAATTTCTTGGCTCCTTTCAGACTTCTTCAACGACTCAAAGGTCAAGTCAATATCATCATCCATTGCTCTGCAGGTTCGTCGATTGTTTTCCTTGAAATAGCATCTTCCTTTTTTAAGATCTGAATATTATCTGAATCTAAATATGTGAATTTGATATCTGAATTTTTTAATATCTTATAATAGTATCTGAATATCTTCGTGACAGCCCTTGATGTTCATGGCTATCAAATCGACTGCAATCGTTTCTTTGACTTATCGACTTCGTTGACGTGCAGGTATTGGACGTACAGGCACAATCGTAGGTCTTGATATGGCAGAGTGTTTGTTTTCGAGTGGTAAACCAGTGAATATGGCCGATATTGTCAAAGAATTACGAAAACAACGAAATGGTTCTGTACAAACTGATATTCAATATGTTTATATGCATCGATGTTTGGTTGGATTATGTGAAAACAAAAAGGTACCTCGATTCATTTGTTGGTTTCGATTGAATCACTTCCGTGATCAATGCAAAATGCAACGAATGTTTTTGTTGCTGCTTTATGCTCATTTCAAAACTGTAATCTTTGGCTTGTTTGAGGTAATGAAACGAGAGGAACTATCCAATTTCATCAAAGACTTCGACGTGGTTGCCGCTGCTAGAGGCAAATGAATTAACATGATCTCATCAATGAATCTAGTGAAAAATTTTCAGTTTTCAAATGTTTCAATAAAGTTCATGACTATTTTAACTGTTTGTTCT